GTAAACGTGTTTACAAATTGTCATGGTCCATGGTGGTGTTCGCGAGATTCAACCAGGGTATTCGGAAAGTCAAATCGCGATCTGGAGTATGTTATTTTAACAGTAAAATTTCTGTGACGTCAAATACGTCATAAATCTGATCATCCGTACAAACATCCTAAAAATGACTTGTTGGATCCACATAACTCGCGAACCGGAAACGGACTGGTGCGAGAAAAACACATCGTCAAGAATAGTGTGCTGCCTTCGGCAGCAACGAACATTTAGACTGGAAACCACATATTTCACGCGTTGCCCTAAGTGGCAAAATCTATTGGCATCATAAATAAAGTAAAGCATTTTATTACTAGCCCCACCAGAATAACGTTATATTGCTCCTTGGTGTTATACCATATATACAATACTGTAATATAGTTTGGGCTAAAACATACCCTACTAATCTTGATAAAATCATGAAATTGCAAAAATGTGTAGTGCGTATTATTGCTAATGCTGAATATCGAGATCCTACTGAACAACTTTTTTCAAAATTCAAGTTACTTGATGTTTATGCCATTAATATATTTCAAACTGGTTCTTTTATGTATAGATGCTTTGACAAGTCCTCAATTTTCCCGCAACATTTTAGGAATTACTTCATCCTTAACAAAGATATTCACTCTTACGAGACGCGGAATGCCAACAGAGTTCATATCAACAAAGTCAGAACAACAAGAAGAAAACTAACTCTTAAACACAGTGGATCATTGTTTTGGAACTCACTAGATAAATATATAACCGAAGCTGCTACGTTATTTATTTTTCAGGCTAGACTAAGGTCCCATATTCATAAATATTGAGTATAATATAGTTTATGATTTATTTCTATATAGCCATATTTACTTTTTCACTCAATTATTTGAATACATAGATTCTTAAAAATCTCCTTCCCAGTTCCGTTGGTTGATCAGTGCTTGTTCAAGTTCTCTCGAGCTTTCTCACTGCTCAACCTTCTGCACAACAATATTTTTTTGTATAATTCAACAAAAAATGGATTGTAAAATGGGACCAATATTTATTATAGTATATATGAGTATAAGGGAATCTGTAATGTAATGTGTGGTAAATGAATTGATTGATTGATTGATTGACCTCAACATACGACGTGAAGTTTGCCGTTTCGAGGGTTAGCGGTTTGCCGTAATTAACGTCAATCTTAACCTCTCTATTATTGTTTATGTCGATTAAGTACTAGCCAGTATTATTTTTGAGAGTTTATGTTCGACTTCCGATACCAATACCGATACTAACAACATGTCACGCGCATGCTCTCTGCTTGCAAGAAGCACGAGGACAAGTGTATTGGAAGTCACCACTACCGAAGTCGGCCTTGTATTGGAAGTCGGGGGAATTGTAAGATAAACTCATATAAATCGGATATTTCATAGTTTTTACAATAAACATGTAAACTATTTGTTTATTAGCATCGCCTGAGTCATGTTTTAGTCGGAATTTTAGCTCAGCTGCTGTTTAGTATACCGCACATTTTCGGTGACGATTAATGTGTTCTATACTTTATCTGTCGTGATAACTTAACGCTTTAAAATTCCCGGTACCAAAATGAGAACGGAAGTGAAAACATTGGTATCGGTATTGGTATTGGAAGTCGAACTTAAACTCTCTATTCTTGGGTCCAGACCTACCTATAAGCTCCTATTTGTGTCTAAAGGTCCAGACACACCGGACGCAATTCGGCGACGCGATTTTTTAGTTTTTGAAAGTTAATAAAACAGCCAATTAATGAGAGCAAATTTTAAAAGATATGTAGACCAAATAACTGAAAATGTTATAACGCTTCTAAACATGTGGAAAATTTAAACTAGGATCAAAGTTATCGGTCAGTGAAAATCGAAAAATCGCGTCGCATGGTCGAATCGCGTCCGGTGTGTCTGGACCTTGATGCTTATTTTCTGTTGCTTTATACATGTTGCTTTTGTATGTAGGTTTGATCCAGATCCTGAGATAGGGTCAGTGCTGGACAACAACACAGATGATAGTATTGACCTAAGTGGCAAATACATGCGTTTCCTTAAGGATAGAGAGTGTGTTAATGGCGAAAATCATAGTAAACAAAGAGATTGTCGTGTGAAGGCACCAGTCCATATTTCTGAAGCCAGATCAGTTCAGGTTGGTCGACATACTGGAGATTTTGATCTAACAATTCCAGACATTCCGTTACTACAAGTTCCTTGGCCTTCTACTTTAGTGGTGTTGATGACACCTTTACTTGAAAGTTTTATTATTTCTTGCTCTATGTGTGCCATGTCTTTTTCCCCATATGAATGTGCCTCACAACCACTTTGGTTGTGATTGTGCTTTTATTTATGCTTTATTATTATTATAGCGATTATTAGATCTGTAGCCAGCGTAGGAACTTGTTGATTGAGGTGGGTGGCTAGCAGTGCATTGGTTTCTCACGCCCTTAAGGTGGCTCGCTACAGTTTATAGAAATGTTGAAAATGCGTAAACTAGATCACCTTTTTGAAGAGATGATGCTCTTTACAAATCGAAATTTGTATATTATATATACAGCGACAATCAAACAGTCGAAAATTGGTCAGAAAATTGACGTCACCACTGTTGCTATGGCAACAATGACGATTCAAGATGGCCGATATTTTGGCTTTGAACGCATTTTACTTTAAAAAAAGGTCGGTTACCCCCATTTTTTATTTCAGAAAACATTTTCTTATAGTACAATACACTATCTGACAAATTTTTAAAAAATTCTGTGATGCCAAATTTTTAAAAAATTTATAAACATGGTTTTTCGAAATAAATTTTTTTTTGCATTACAGATTTTTTTTAAAATTGGTCAGATAGTGCATTGCACTATAAGAAAATGTTTTCTGAAATAAAAAATGGGGGTAACCGACCTTTTTTAAAGTAAAATACGTTCAAAGCCAAAATATCGGCCATCTTGAATCGTCATTGTTGCCATAGCAACAGTGGTGACGTCACTTTTCTGACCAATTTTCGACTGTTTGATTGTCGCTGTATATCGATCAAAAAGGGTGTGGAATTCTGCCAAACGAAATACGCAGGAACACAACGTCTCTGTCTTCCTATAAACATTTATTGAAGGAATATTACCAGAGCGCTTTAAAATCAACGGACATGGAAGTCAGTTTGTGTTAAGTGTGGCTCTGCCCGTAGTCTTCTATTTCTTCCTATGTGCTGTTTTAGTGTCTGTATGTCTTAATGTTGTTAATGTCTGTATATGTTTGTATGTTTTGTTGGTAATTGTAATCGTTGATATTGTTACTTGATATTAAACTTAATGTACTATAATGGATCCGCAGTAAATGGCCGTAGCTGTTGCGGTTTCCAAGCCTGTTGAGGCAAAGTAATAAATAAATAAATATTTAATTTTTTTATTTGTTCTGTAGGCGAACCGTAACAATGAACCTGTTAATGAAACTTCGTCCACTATCGCAACAAAGCCAGGTAAGGAAATGTAACACATGACCAAATATAATGTATTTTCTGGAAATTTT